ATGCCACCCTTCCTTTTGCGCTGCTGCTAGCAGCAGTACTGCCGTCTGAACTGGGTTTCCAGACAAGGACCACTGCTCTCCAGCCAGCCAGCCTGGAAGGCCAGGAAAAGATCACAGACATTTTTTAATATTTCCAAAATGTGCCCAGAGGAAGAGTTGAGAACCAAGAAAGAGGTCATATTTGGAAAAATCTGGATGGCTAGTGACTCTACTCACAACCCCCCTACACTAGCCTTGTGATTCTCTTTTGATATGGGAGCCCCAGTTGAAGAAAGGCTGCACTTTGGGGGTTCCCCAATGAATCCTGAGGTCCAACACTGCAAAAGGTTCTGGCAGACTCTTTCTCACAACTTCCACTGAATAGTTCATAGATAAGGCTCTGCTAAATTCACCATGCATTATTGTCAATTTCACAGCCAAATGTTTTCCAAATTGGTCAATTTCACAATTTCGGATGTTTACATCTGAAAATTCATGGTGTTCTAACCATGCAGATCCTAGCCCAAAATAAGATTGTGGGGGGAGGGGAAGTTTGCAAAGTTATTGTAGGATAGAAGGTCCCGAGATTGCCACCTTCAGTTCTTTGCAGCCTTCCTGGCAGGGCTACAGTAGGTTCCCCCTTCATTTCTGCACTGCCTCTCAAGGCGGTTCTGACCTCTCCACCAAGAATGACTGTGTAGGGGAAAGACAACTCCTGTCCCTCCCCAGCCTGGCCAGACAAGCAGCTGGGTCCCCCAGGTTCCAATGAGCATGGGGAGATCAGATTTCAGAATACAGGGAAGATTTCATAGACTGTGACACATTTTTTATGGCTGTGAAAATGATAGGGCCCTAGTCAAATTCTCAGGGACCTTTTCCCTTTAGTGGTCTGCACTGTATAGTAGTCTTTATTGGAATGTTCTGGCAATGCTACAAACGCCAAGGGGAGGTCTACAATTCATTGTCTTTGCTATTTCTTTTCTTTCTAGCATCATTCATTAATGATGCTGGCAGCCTAAACTCTGGTTCTGGTGAAAAAGGCATGATGAGGAGGCCCTTTTAGTCTTTTCAAGTCTTCACTAGGTCCACGTGACAGAGCCTCTACCTCATTTCTCCTTCCTGGATGACAGATTTCATCATCAGCTGCCCTTGCCCTATTTATAACCTTGAATGGTCCTTGCCACTTGGCCAGCATTTGGGGAAGGGCGGGCCTAGGACAGAACAGGGGCACTGTGGAGTGGGACTTGAGGTGGAAAGGGGGTTGTCTTGGGCATTGCTCCCCCCTAGGAATGGCCCTGCCTAGTATAGATCATTTCAGGAACCCACTGGTGACCTCCCTCCTTTGGGAGCTCCTGTGAACCATAGTCCACCTGCCATCCGTCTGTGCCAGAGCGAGGGGCTCTTTAAAGAGCACAAGGATAACTTGAGCAGCAGTGATATTTGAGACAGATGGACAGAGATCCTGGAGCACCAAAACTTGGGCTTAATAACTTTCTATATAATCAGCCAGTCTCTTTCAGGGATTTTCCTTTAGGTCGGAATTACTGGAAAACTTGTTTGTGCCCTCAGCAATGCCCTGTTGTGGCTATTAAAGCTCCCCCCATGCAGCTGTTTTGTACCCTCCACCATTCTTTTGAACCCCACAAACCGCACAAAATCCACCATCCAAGCCTTTGTTCTCAAGAGCTAAGGTCCCAGTGCCACACAGTAATGCTTTTGCACCTGCAGGCTCCAAAATCAGACATTGTTGTCTTGCAAGCAGGCAGGTATTGGCACGTGGACACAAAGAGAGAAAGGCAAGAGGATGTGGTGATTATGCTTTTCATTTGGAAATGCAGGTCCAAAGTCAACTCAGCCAAACCGTCTGCTAAGGAAAGGTCCCTTTCCTGTTCTGTCAGGGGGAAGTCACCCACAAGGCCTAGACAGCACTGTAGTGTGCCTTATACAATGTGGCTGGTGATCTGGTGATTTCCTACAAGCTGAACAAGGCTGGCACCCAGAGGAAGGAAAACCAAGGTACTGATGATTTTAATGGCATTACTCTCTCTGAGGGTATGTCTACACTACAAAGTTAATTCGAACTAACAGACATTAGTTTGAATTAACTTTGATAGGCGCTACACTAGCGCTCCGCTAGTTCGAACTTAATTCGAACTAGCGGAGCGCATAGTTCGAACTAGGTAAACCTCATTGTACGAGGACTAAGCCTAGTTCGAACTTACTAGTTCGAATTAAGGGGTGTGTAGCCCCTTAATTCGAACTAGTAAGTTCGAACTAGGCTTAGTCCTCGTACAATGAGGTTTACCTAGTTCGAACTATGCGCTCCGCTAGTTCGAACTTAATTCGAACTAGCGGAGCGCATAGTTCGAACTAGGTAAACCTCATTGTACGAGGACTAAGCCTAGTTCGAACTTACTAGTTCGAATTAAGGGGTGTGTAGCCCCTTAATTCGAACTAGTAAGTTCGAACTAGGCTTAGTCCTCGTACAATGAGGTTTACCTAGTTCGAACTATGCGCTCCGCTAGTTCGAACTTAATTCGAACTAGCGGAGCGCATAGTTCGAACTAGGTAAACCTCATTGTACGAGGACTAAGCCTAGTTCGAACTTACTAGTTCGAATTAAGGGGTGTGTAGCCCCTTAATTCGAACTAGTAAGTTCGAACTAGGCTTAGTCCTCGTACAATGAGGTTTACCTAGTTCGAACTATGCGCTCCGCTAGTTCGAACTTAATTCGAACTAGCGGAGCGCATAGTTCGAACTAGGTAAACCTCATTGTACGAGGACTAAGCCTAGTTCGAACTTACTAGTTCGAATTAAGGGGTGTGTAGCCCCTTAATTCGAACTAGTAAGTTCGAACTAGGCTTAGTCCTCGTACAATGAGGTTTACCTAGTTCGAACTATGCGCTCCGCTAGTTCGAACTTAATTCGAACTAGCGGAGCGCATAGTTCGAACTAGGTAAACCTCATTGTACGAGGACTAAGCCTAGTTCGAACTTACTAGTTCGAATTAAGGGGTGTGTAGCCCCTTAATTCGAACTAGTAAGTTCGAACTAGGCTTAGTCCTCGTACAATGAGGTTTACCTAGTTCGAACTATGCGCTCCGCTAGTTCGAACTTAATTCGAACTAGCGGAGCGCATAGTTCGAACTAGGTAAACCTCATTGTACGAGGACTAAGCCTAGTTCGAACTTACTAGTTCGAATTAAGGGGTGTGTAGCCCCTTAATTCGAACTAGTAAGTTCGAACTAGGCTTAGTCCTCGTACAATGAGGTTTACCTAGTTCGAACTATGCGCTCCGCTAGTTCGAACTTAATTCGAACTAGCGGAGCGCATAGTTCGAACTAGGTAAACCTCATTGTACGAGGACTAAGCCTAGTTCGAACTTACTAGTTCGAATTAAGGGGTGTGTAGCCCCTTAATTCGAACTAGTAAGTTCGAACTAGGCTTAGTCCTCGTACAATGAGGTTTACCTAGTTCGAACTATGCGCTCCGCTAGTTCGAACTTAATTCGAACTAGCGGAGCGCATAGTTCGAACTAGGTAAACCTCATTGTACGAGGACTAAGCCTAGTTCGAACTTACTAGTTCGAATTAAGGGGTGTGTAGCCCCTTAATTCGAACTAGTAAGTTCGAACTAGGCTTAGTCCTCGTACAATGAGGTTTACCTAGTTCGAACTATGCGCTCCGCTAGTTCGAACTTAATTCGAACTAGCGGAGCGCTAGTGTAGCGCCTATCAAAGTTAATTCAAACTAATGTCTGTTAGTTCGAATTAACTTTGTAGTGTAGACATACCCTGAGCTAGTGCATTCAGGCAATGTGGCAGCAGGGCAATAAGGGGCACAAAGCTTTTGGTGGTGCCCTTTCACAGAAGGGTTATAAAATCCAAGCTCCTGGCCATGGAGGATCCCACGAGAAGCAGCGGTCCATCCTGTGGTCCCAACCAGGCATGGAGGGTAGAGAACATTAGGCAGGGATATTTTTTGGTCAGGTCGATCAATCCGCCCCAAGCCTGTGGGACAGCTGTTGGAATGTGTGTGTCCCTCTCCCTGTGCAAACCTTAAAGATAAGAAGGTAAATAAAAAGACCAGTTGCACAGTATTTCTTTTTAACAGGAGGTTAATGAACTTGATATGTACTGCTTGTTTCTGATTGATTGCCATTGAACTCACTTGAATCTGAGTAATTTTACCAGGTGTCCTGTATTCAACAAAAGAAAATATGGTCACCCTATGCAAGTGAGAGTTAATTTCTGCATTTGGCTTTGAACTCAAGAACAGGAATCTAGAATTTGATGCAGAGGATGTGAAGAAGCAAGCGAAGAGATTTGAAGAAGGGCTGGACAAGGTAGATGAAGTTAAAGAGACCAGATATCATTTCTAAATGAAGCAGTAGGAGAGTCCAAGGAAGGTATAATGCATGGTCAAACCGTACCCTGTGAAGTAAGATGCTGGATTGGGCTTTTGGGCTTCAGAGGGAATCTTCCTAGGTGTTTGTACAATGGCTACCACAGAAGGTTTTTGGTCTTGCCTGGGGCCCTTGGTTTTATTATAATGTAAATGTTGGCGAATACTGATGATTTGTTCGGAAAATACTGAATAAATGCAAGCTGATTATCATTAACTTGTTTGCACAGTTACAATACTGTTCAAGACACCCAAATCCAAATCCAATGTCTATTTCTAATAACTTTATTTAAAACACATTTTAAACATAAAGAAACTGGAATACAATAAGTAGCAATAAAAACATTAGGCAAGTGCTGTATTACAATGCACTGAAAACATCTTATTCAAGTAAAATATTATGGTATTGTAAATATCTAGGGTCTGGTTCTGAACTTGTTTACTCCACATACATCAGGAATGATTCCATTAATGTCAATGGAGCTATCATTATGAAAAAAATGGTATGAGACCAGAATCAGGACCCTAGCTTGCTACACATTTCATAGTACAACAATTGAATACACCTTTAATAAGTTCTTACAAAAACATTAAACAAAGGAAGATACAGAATGTGATTGTATAAACCTAGCAAGAGTTTAGTACAATTTTCACAACTGGAAAACCATTGCCCACAATCATCTGAGGTATTTAAATTAATTATTAGAGTAGAAAAAAATGTGATTTTTGAAAGCATAAAACGAATACAAGTGTCTCCACTTATTTAAAGACTCTTCAAAATCAAACAGCTTAATGATAGACCATTTTTCAAATATGAAGTGAAAACACAATGTACTTTTAGCAATCAAGAATCCCTTGCGTGCAGATTCATGCCTGTGTGTTTGTAGTATTGTTTTTCTGGTCTCTGTTTACAAAAGCTTCACTTGCAGGTGTTTAGTATTTGAATTGTTTGGTTTAATGAGTTCCAAACTCTCAAGCAGAAAGTCTCCTGATTTAAATACTGTGCCAACAACGGAAAAAGAGATGAATCAAAATTCAAGTTTGTTAAAAAAATAACAATTGCCTTTTAGATGAATGCCAGCCAAACAATACATAGTTGCTAGCACTTATAATACGTCTTGCCGGCTTAATAGTGTAATTTCCATACTGTTATTTCACAAAAGAATATTTTTAATTCCATTGCACACCTAAGTCCCAGTCCATGTACTGTTCAGTGTACTGAACTTCTCCAGAGTATGTGCCCAGTCTTGTTAATCCTTACCTACACGAGTAATCCTTAATTAGTCCTGTTGAAATCAATGAGTCAAAATCCAATTGCTTTTACCTAAGCAGTCTGTTGAAGTCACTTTTTTTATTTGAGAATTTCAGTAAAATCACTGAGATAATTTGTGCAAAAAAAGAATATGGCCCATTGATTTGGCTGGAACAATATGCGAGTAAGGAGAACTTGTAGGTGAAATTCGCTCCTGAGCAGAGGGTTAGCGTACACTACTTAAATCTCATTTAAACCCTTATTTAAGCACTTGAATCAATGATTCTCAACCAGAAGTACATGTACCTGTTGGCATAGGTGGAGTCTTCCAGGGGGTGGGTCAACACATTTAGGTATTTGCCTGGTTTTACAACAGCCTACATAAAAAGCACTAGCAAAGTGCTTCTGACAAACTAAAATTTCATACAATTACTGGTTTATACTCCTCTGTATATTATACCCTGAAATGTAAGTACATTATTTATATTCCAATTGAGAAAATAAGTCATTTTTCAGTAATAGGGTGCTGTGACAAATTTGTATTTTAATGTCTGATTTTATAAGCAAGTAGTTCTTAAGTGAAGTGAAACTTGGGGGTATGCAAGACAAACCAGCCTCTTGAAATAGGTATAGTAGTCTGGAAAGGTTGAGAGCCATTGACATAAATGATGCATTTGCCTTATGCCAACCTTCAGCACAGGAATGAATTTCACTACAAGTGAGTAAGGGTTGCTAGTTTGGGCCCCGTGGAAATGAAATCGTTCAAGTATAAAATCTGTATATTACAATCACAGAAAATAAATATGCAAAGAAAAATGGATACGACATTTTTTGCATGATGAAATATTTCCCAACCAAACGAAGGAATATTCTTTGAGTTGGTTTCTGAATTTATTGGGAAAGAACGCTACTTTATGTAAAACTCACATTTATACATTACGGAAAATAACTGTTATAGTCCCTAAAGAGTTAAAAAATTAATCTAAGAAGAAAAATATTTAAAATAATCAAAATCCTTATGTAGTATAAATGGAAAATTATACTGCAAAGGCACCATTAAAACATATTTTAAAAGCACCTTTTTTTTGCAATGCTTCTGACAAATATTTGGAAGCATGTAAGTTCTGATGCAACGCTTAAAAGTTGTTTAAGGATATTATATGAAGTATTAAATATAAATTATAAAACTTTATGAGAAGTGGATATTGCTTCCAATAAAATCAAAAGATGAAGCCCAAATAACACTTATATATAAATCACTAGCATTTAGTTCTCCCTATAAATTCTCTATAAATGGTAAATACGAAATTATGGTATATAATCACAACGAAAAACAACTACAAAAGAATAAAAACTATATTTTACTGTTTAATTGTTCTTATCTACTGATGAGCCAAATGTAGTATCAAAACACAATAAAATTGAATTATTTTAAAAAGTATGTGCATTTAATCCTGTTTCATTTATGATTCTACAAATATCAAAATGCCTCAGCTAGTGAGCACTCATTGTGGGATTTTCAAAAGTGCATATGTGTTTTAGGAGCACAAGTCCGTGTCATACAGGTATTTCTGAATTATATTTCCTAAAAAAAATTATTTAATGAATGTTGTGACTTTTTGCTGAAAAAAGTTATTTGATGAATTTAAAAAGGTCTCCCAAATTTGGACCCCAGTCAGCAAGTCACTTAAGCACATGTTTAACATTAAGCATCTGAGTGGTCATACTGACAATTCCCTTGCTTACATTTTAGTGTGTGCTTCGGTGCTTTGCCACATCAGGGTCACAGAACTGTGCTATTAATTAAACAAGTATGTTCAGAAATAATTTAGTTGTAAAATTTCACAATATTTTAAAATAATTTTACTGATGGTCACTTTTAAAGGCTGATTATTTATCACTTGTAAGAGTCAAGTTTGCTGTGGCATACGATCTATTTCCTATTCTGTAGATAAGGCATATAGTAACATCTGTATAAAAGAAAAATGTTATCATTTTAATGCCCTTAGTAAAATGAAAACTGCTCATATGAGCTGTCTAAATATTGAAATAATAATGCTTAGCACTTAAATAGCAATTTCATTTTCAAATCAGTTCACCCATGCTAACTAAATAGTTTTCACAACATGCCTGTGAGATAGGTAAAAACTATTTGCATTCTATAGATGTAGAAAGTGAGGCAGAGAAGTTAAATGACATGCCCCAGAGAGCAGTGTCAATATTGGAGACAGGGCTAGAACACAATGAAAGGTTCCCTTAGTCTGTAAAATATACCCTACAGAAGAGCATAATAGCAATATATAGAAATGAAGAACAAATCTAAGCCAGATGCTTGGCTTCTGTATCTAACTGTAGTTCCATTAAGGTCAATAGGGGAATTTCTGGCTCTGTTGAAGTCATTATGAGCTGTGCCAGTGTCCTCTTTGGATTTCACCCACTGAAGCTAAGATGATATACACCAGTTAGGATCTAATCTTGGAAGTACAGATTGCCTATTGAACACAATTCCTTGTTGGTTCCAGCTGTTAGCAAGATTTACAGCAAAGCTTCAAAGTATACAAGGTACAAAGAAAAAATATATTGCATTCTAGGGTCTGATTTCAAAGTAATGCACAAGCTTGCATTTTAGAACAAATTGACTAGGTTACAATTATTATTATTATTATTAATTATTAAATGCCCAGTACATGTTCTCTATTAGGCTTGCCAACTCTGTCTAAAACTATTCCGGGAGCTTCCCCTCCACCTCAATATGACATAATGTCATTTTCTTAAAATATCCTATTACAATCTCCAGAATTGCTTTCAATAGGGAGATGGATTCCAGAAGACTCCAGACCAGTCCTGGAGGGTTAGCAACCCGATTCTCTGTGCTTGTACAGTAACTAGCACAATGGGCCCTAAAACTGATTGGTCTCTAGGACCTATCACAATATAAATGTTAAATAAAATAATATTGTAAACTGTTGATGAAGTCAACCTCTGAAGCTTGAATCAGTGTGTTATATTAAAAATACTGACTCTGTACTTCAAAATGATTGTCTACAAAATTCTATGTTTAATTTTTACTTATAAGAAACAAGAGGCCATCAATTAAAAAAGGAAGACTAGTACTAAATAGTAAGTAAAATGCAAAAATAGCCATCCTTACTTTTTTGTAACTGCCATAACACTTCTGAATCCACTTCATTTCACAGATATCACATAGTCTAAAAACTTTGGCTCACTTTGGCTATTTATTAAACAATAAACCCAAGACCAAAGTTGATCACCTTTCTTTCCACTTTTACCTCACAAAATGGCTGGAAAATGACACCAACCAGTTACTCTGCATTACCATTTTCTGGAAACTATCATCCAGAATAGATGTTAACCAAACTCCTCTGAGCAGGGACAGATTCCCTTTAATGGCCAGTGTAAAAGTGATGTTTACAGCATTAATGCACCCCATGTAGGAAAACTTAATTGCAAGCCCAATTCAAAGACCATTATGCTTAGAATTCCATAGAATCAGTAATATCTAAAGTGCCTTCCAATGCTAGGGAGTCTTCTAAACTCTGCCCTGGATCGATTGTGAAGCCCTGTCCTTTCAATGTATTATGAGCATTCATGAACTTCTGCAGGTACTTAGAGGTATATAGCCAGTGATGCTTCAAAACATCCTCCATTTCATAGCATTTTGACTGCCTGGCATTCATTTTTCGGAAACGCCTAAATAATTTATTCCCGGACTCATTCCCTTCACTTGCCCAGGCACCAATGGAACCATCTCTTTCAATGATTTCAGGAACGTGAGCAAGAGTTTTGTGAAAATAATTTGTAATCTTGCCCTCATATCTGTACTTGAACTTTGTGGACAAGAGCTCAGCAAAACGTTGTGAGTTAAAGCTATACTGACACAGCAATTCTGGGCATTCTTTAGCTGGGCATGAAGACCTCCACACTGGTTTCATCTTAAGGTAAAGGTCCATCAGTTCTCTTAGGGCTTCATGCCTTTCCTCACACTTTATTAATTCACATATGGCTTCCACTGTCTCTTTGGTCATAAGCTTTCTAGCAAAGTTTCCATTCATCCTCATTATGGGTTTCAGGTTCATCTTCTTCCTGAGATGCTTGTCAAGAGTTGACTGCCACCTCTTCCTCTCTTCTTTAGATGCGTTGGGGTTCTTGTACACCTCACCTATCTCAAACTGGAATATCTTGTAGAACTCAGCTGCATTGCCAATATCACAGTGCAATGCATCTATGGAAGGAACAGTCTCAATAAAAGGTTTGGCAGAAACACCCTTCACTCTGTCACGTAACTCATCAACTGATTCATGATATGGGTTGGACCTCCATACCTCATACCGCTCCAGATTTTCAGCATGACTTCTTGTTATGGAGTGGAGGACCAGGTTCTGAGAGGCTTCCAGGCGGGTTGCATCACAAAGGGTGCAGATGTAAGTAGAGCCTGAGGCTTCAAGGCCTTCCACTTCACGGACAAGTTTCTCATCATACCCTGTACCCCTAAAGATGAATTTGAATGTTCTGAGGATGCCTCCCATTTCAAGAAGCAGGACACTGGTTTTCATGGTCTCCCTTTCTGCTATCAGAGGGCTCAGAATGGCAGTTAGAGTCTCATGGTCAGATTCATCAGCCAGCATAAGGCACAAGGGCTTGCAACACAGCTCTGAATTGGGCTTGACTTCTTCAAAGACCCTTACGTTTTCATTCCCATGAGCTATGCTGATACTCATGAGTGTGAAAGAAAATCGAACTGCCTTCTCCGGAACAGCTGGTCCACTTCCATGCTTCTCGCTGACATCTCCCATCCCATCACAAGACTCCTTCACCACTACAGTGAAGGGGCCATTCAAGTAGTCATCCAGATCTTTTGCTTTCATGCCTTCCAAGATGTCTTCCTCCATGTCCATTAAGGCAGAAACCAAGGCTGCATCATATCGAAACCTCTTGGCAATTGTATCTACTGGGTAGTCATCAACTGAGAGTGGCAGCCCGGACAGCCCATCTATAATTCCCACTTCTGTATTAGTGGACACATTTTTCAAAGGGGGTTTCCACTCAAATGGATGATAGCCTGGCAAGAGGGCCTTCTCCGCAGTGCGGAGAGCGTGCAGTGGCTGGAAGATCTGCCTCCCAGTTATAGCTTTTACAGTTCGGTACATTTTATGGTACTGGCTACAGCTGAGAAAGGTGTTGACTCGGATTGCCAAGCAGACCGCTGGGTGAAGCCCTGACCCCTTCCCTTGCATCATAGCTTCCAACTCATCTGCTTGTCTGTGTTCATTTCTTGCTCTCAGAGCCAGAAGGAACAAAGTTAGGCACACAGCCTTTATATCCCCTCCTTCTTCTTTCTCAGCAAAAGCTTTGACTTGAAGCTTGAGTTCTCTCAGACGATGCTTTTGCGCTCTCCTGGTCAATGACAGCAAGTGTTGTCTCGGTCGGCCCCCTTTATTTACGTGCGTGTAAATCTCTTTCCTTTTCAATTCTTTGTGACTGGACAGATGATGGCAATATTTACCCAGCAAAACCTCCTCATCACATTCTTTCACTGGGCATCGCACAGCCAGGGAATTGAGGATGTTCAGGAAGGATTTCACTGGACTCATCAGGTCGGTAGGGAAGCAAGGGTATCGGCAAGAGGGGCAATAGCTTCCCATAACTTTGAGGCACTTAAGGATGCAGGTTCTGCAGAATAAGTGGCTACATGTTGTTTCCACTGGGTCTGCCAGAATATGCTCACAGACCTGGCAAGAGATGGACTTAACAAAATCTGCAGGGTAATCAACTGCAAGAAGTTTGGTGCTAAGATGTATCTTCTTGCAGTTGGCAATCTTTTTCATAAGGTTTTTGCTGTTAATCTGTGATTGTTTTTTTACACCCTTGGTTTTTCGGGCACGTTCTGCCATGATCTTGAGCTTTTTGCCCAGCTGTAAGTTGGATGGCTGGTTCTTCCTCTTCACCCCACGAGGAGCAGTGCAACAAACAGTGCAGTTTGGGGAGTGGGACTTCCACTCCATGGTGCTGTTCCTTGGGAAATACACTTCACACGGGGCATTGCTGAACTTTCTGTGGATGATACTCCAACAGTTGTGACAAAACCGAGTGGGATGGATTGTGTCGATATCTGCTCGCACATCAATCTTAAAAACCTTGGCAATAAGATCTGGCCAAGATGTTGCCTTTTTCTCTTTCTTTCGCAGAACTCCCTGAGTTTCACTGTCTACTGGTCCATGCACTGGATGACTTCTCTTGTAACGATCAGTTTTAAATGAAACTCCGCAGACGCGGCAAAGTTGCTGCAGGTTTGCTTGGTGAGCTGCATTCTCTTTCATTTTCAGGTTGTCAGCATCTTTTTCAAGAGCCTGCTTACTGTGCTTTAATTCTGCATCTGCCAGAAGTGGCTTTTCTGCCTGTGGGACAGCTGCATCCTTCTGCACCACAGTGCCTTTGTCCAAAGAGACCACCTCCTCTGCTTTCTCTTTATTTGCCACTTGGCTGTCTCCAGAAGGTGTTTTTTCAAAGGATCTCACTTTAAACAGCTTGAACTTCCATTCAGAAAATTTAGTATATGGATGTTGGATTTCTTCTGGCATGGTGTGCAGGCTCATGCTTGGTGATGTCAGTATATCCCTTCTGGCAGGAACTGAATCTCCTGAGAGAAAGAGAGAGAGAGAGTGCATGGTAAGGAAATGAAATACTCCAAAATGAACAATGATACAAATGTAGGAAGTGTGGGCTTTAAATGGCATAAATATGCAGTCGTTAATGGCTGGTAAATGCTTTGACAGGAAGCTGTTTCCCAAAATATGAAATACCATTATAGATATAAATTGTCATGCCGATAAAACGTCTAGGCTGGGGTAGGGGACCCTTTTGGGTTGGAAGCTGCTGGCCCATGTAAAAATCAATCAGGGGCCACACACCCAAGTGAGAAGCAAGGGGAAAAAAAATCCAAAGCAAACCCTCATTGATGTGGCCCCCAACTGAGAGGGAGAAAGACACTCCCGACATTCCCCTCACACAACAGAGCCTACAGAGGCACAGTCTGGTAGGTTTTGTGTACTCCATCCCTGAAATAAGGCAGCTGGGGGGCTGGAGTGCCAGTATGGACTCCCCAATTCTGGGGGCAAGCCAGGGGCTGCATCCAGCCCTTGGGCCTTAGGGTCCCCATCCCAATCTAGACAATCACAAAGAATAAAATCACCTTTGTGCATAAGGCCAGCAAAAAGATCTGTGTGTGCCACTTCAGCCCCATTTAGATCCTCAGATCATGGTTTAAGTGAGGCTTTTGTGCTATATAGGCTTTTGTTGCCACTATTTCACCCATCTTGCAAAATAAGAAAACGATTCCATGAAAGGAATTCCATGACTGAGTTAAACAAACACAGGATACAATATAATTCCATTTTAAATTGGGAGGAACAAAAGTATAATGAAATGGATAGTGTATGTATGTCATTGCCTTCTACTGGACAGAATTGGAACTGATCTGCTGTGTGTCATAGGCTCCATACTGCTAACAACCAAAGGAGATGTTTCTTTAGTTCAAATGGTAGAAGCCTAAGCTTTTGGATGAAAAATATTTAATTCTATTGCCAACTTTGCTTTAAAGTTACAGTACAGTGACAGCTGTTAAACCTTAGAGAGCCACTAAAGCTACTAGGGGAGATGTTATGGGATGGATGGGACTGTGTGGGAACGCAATAGATTTTCATCAGTTTTCAAGTACCACAAGTTACAAGTAAAATCAGTTTGATGACCTCAGTGTATCATGAGGATATTTACCCACACTGCAAAGTTGCCATATAACACTGTACAATTGGTAACCTTTGCCTAGGCTTGCAGGGGAATCAGGGCTGTGGGTACTGAGAAGAAAGGTAGAAAGGTACACTGGCAGGCCTGTGTAAAGGATGCTTGCTCAGGAAGAGCACCTGCACTGTGCTTTCTGCACTCCCAACCCCAAACACTTCTTTTGCTGCATGTTGTCTACTGAGATTATAAACTCTTCTGAGGTGGAGGGGGGTCCATCTACATATATGTCAGTAAAGCATCACAACACATTTAAGATGCAATAAGAATACACAATGAAAATGATTATCATGCATGCTCTGATTTTATCCAGAAGGGGATGGGATTAAGGTACTGAGTGTGCATGACAAGTACTGGATAGAGATCCCTGCAAATAGCAGTTCACCCTGTTTATCTACAGGACAGGGCCAGCATAGATAGGGACACTGTATAATTCCCCACGCAGCCCCAATGTGCCTCTGCCCTGATCCTGATGTGGACAAATGGCCACTGGTACATGCATTGAGATCGCCAGCTCACTTCACATACCATAGGACAGCTAATGACTAACAAACAGCAGTACCTAACTCTCCAATCTTTATTACTCCACATTCACATAAGGAGCTCTACAGAAGTCAATGGAAGTATGTCTAGACTACAGGCTTTTGTCGACAGAGGCTTTGTCGACAGATACTGTCGACAAAGCCTCTGTCGACAAAGAGTGTCTAGACTACATCCAGTTCTGTCAACAAAGCAAGCCGCTTTGTCGACATGAGAGTGTAGACGCAAAGGACAGTGTAGATGCAATAACGCCTTCTGTTGACAGAACTCTGTTGACAAAAGGCGTTATTCCTCGTAGAATGAGGTTTACTGCCATCAACAAAACTGCCGAGTTCTGTCGACGTTATGTTGACAGAACTCGGCGGTAGTGTAGACGCAGGTATAGTTTTGTCGACAAAAGTCCAGGTCTAGACGCACCCTGGAACTACATGAGTGAATAAGGACTAGGATATCTGATGACTTATGATCAGTGCTTACATGAAATAGAGTTACACTGAAGGCTGAGACGTGGAAATCTATATTTCTCCTACCATATTTTAAGTCATTGAGGCCACAACCACTGATTCTTTTTTTTTTTAGGCCCTGATCCTCAAATGGGATCACTAGTGGGTGATTCCTGTAAAGACATTCCATGCTAGCCTATCCCTGTGTGGAATAATGACCTCATTTAGGCCCCAGTTCAGCACATAAAGACTTCAATTTCATAGAGCAGAAGCAGAACCTCAGTAGACATCACAACTTACTCCAGCTGAGGATCTGCCCCGCAGGCTCAACTCATGAGATTAAGCATTTGTCAAATTTTAAGTGCCTCTCTGAACTGCAACCTTACTTGGAAGGGTTAGATGGTTTGAAGGATTGAAAACGTCCAGTCAAATTTGGGCCAAATTTTAGATTTTGCAAAAACAATCTTTTATCAAACACAGCACTGATGTAGTTGCCGTGGAAACCTGACACAATATACAAATAAATATCCCCTGGAGGGGGTTGCAATTCAAACATTGCAACATTGTGCTAGAGGATGAGAGCCTGAAAATAAAATTGGCTAAAAGACAAAAGTGAAACTGACCAGCCTATTTTTCTATGCCCAGGTGGGAGAAGTGCAGAAAGTAAGCCAGTGGCAATATTGTAAAGTATTTAGAATTGTGCTTTTAATATTTAAGTGGCAGGTAGTAACAGAAATGAAGAAAATTGTACTTTAAGAATATGTGATTTTATAGTATTTGTTTCAAATAAAGGCTGTAGCTTCACTTTGCGGTAGTGTTCGCTAAAACTCTAGACTGCGCCTGTATCTATTCTGAGGATGCCTTACACAAGAACACATTCTTTTCAGTGTCTGAAATTTTGATCTGCCTTTCCTGCATTATGCCTCTGAGATTATCTCTTTAAAAATATAACCTTTCAATAGAGCAATATTTCAATACAATCTTCCAAAGTCCAGCTGGAAAGGATTACTGGCTCTGATTAAGTTCCAAATCCAGAGTGACATGTCAACCTGCTCAGCTCTCGCCTTAAGAGTTTTACTTCAAAATCCTTCAAGTGGACCTTGGCAAAAAATGAAAGGTTTGTTTTCTTGCCAGCTTCTCTTAATTCCGTCCCACTGAGAACAAGTTGCCTACACTGCTATATCCATCTGCCTGCACTGCTGTAGCCCGCTGCCGGCAGTGCTGAATACAAGTGTCTGCATTGCCATCACCGGCTGTCCCTTTTGGCTATGGCCTGCTGTCCTGTTTGTTTGTACCCTGCTATCTATAAAATGGTAACCTACTATCCGCTGCAGCTGTACCCAGGTGCATGACTATTTTACCCACTGTTTTGCTTAGCTTGACCCTGCTGTGGACCCTGCTGACCTAATTGTCAAAACCTTCTACCAGCAGAGCTGAGTCCTGCTTGCCCCACGTAAGTCCTGCTTGACTACTGAGCTATACTCTGCTGCCTGCAGAGGGACTGAATGGCTTGTTGTCCTTCATTGTTTTACCCTATTCTCCTACAGTTTCTTGCGCTGTTCTGCTGCCTTACTAGAATTCAAATGGGAGGGAAAAAGGTCAGATCATAAGGACAAAAATAAATATTACAAACTATATTTTCCTCAGGGGATTGTCAATACAGAGATAAAGCCTCTAGAGCACTTTGCAGTGAGCTAAATATGGAGTTATTTGTGTGTTACTGCCAACAGTTTTACATGGGAATACTGAAATATCTACGTTGATAAAATCAGATGCAGAAACTGGGACTTTTGCATGAGAAAGGATTTAGCCCCCTAACCAGTGAACAATTTGGTGTCTTAGCTGTGCTATTAAATTGTAGTTGTAGTTGTGTTGTACACCGTATATGAGAAAAAGAAGATAGGTGAGGTAATAGCTTTTAGTTTCCAACTTTTGATAGTGAGCGAAACAAGATTTCAGGTGACACTGAGTCCTTATCAGGAATTTTGTGTGGCTGGATATCTTGTCTCTCTCACCAACAGAAGTTCGTGCAGTAAAACCTATTACCTCGCTCATCTTGTCTGTGCTATAAAATACTGACATAAGCATGCAGTGAATTTGTAACCACACAGGACTTTTCTGTTTAATTCTCCTGATACAGCATAGTACATATTCATCAGTTAGACGGTCAATATTTATTCTGCAAGTAACATATAAAACTGTTGTTTGCCTATAGCCTTTTCCAAAACATTTGTCAATGGAATATCTGAGCACCTCATGTGCATTAGTCAGTTTATCTTTGCAGCATACCTGTGACATAAGGAAGTCCCATTTTAATATTCCCATTTTACTGATCACACACATACTAGAAGAGACCTTAGATCTTATGATTTTGCAGCCAAAGCAGAACATGTTCACAGGGACTTGCATCAAGATTACCATTGTCTCTAACTGCATCATCAGCACCTCTTCATCTTTGGAGAGCAGCTAGCAAGCTATGCCCCCTAAGGTTTGCTCAGGGCTATCATTTGCTAGGGGTCCAGCAAGGAGAGTTGCCTCCTCTGATCTTAGGTTGCCCCTAAAAACTTTTTCTTGGCTCTTTATGCCCCATTATTTCTTCCACTCTCCCCTCCCCCAAACTTTGCAGGATATAATATAATCACATCAAATGTTCTATATGCCAACACAACTTTGGCCTTCTTCTCCTCCCCTCTGCCATAATTTTTTTTAAATGACATCCCTGAGTTTGTTCACTAGTTATTGAGATAAACCAGCCAGCAATAGGTATGATTAGACCAAAATAGCTAATACCTTCTTTCCTTGTCCTACCCTTGCATGGTGTGTCATCTAAGGGTATGTCTACACTGCAAGCTTATTTCGGAAAAAGCTATTCTGGAAGATATCTTCTGGAATAGCTCATTTCAAAATAAGAGTGTCCACACTACAGGGAAGCTTCAGAATTAGTCCAAAGCAAGCTCCTCTAATGCAGACGCACTATCTCAATTTAAAGCCCTAGCAGGCACTGGGGAGGAATAACTTAGAACAGCTCTGGTGAAGAGCTATTTCGACATAGTAGCAGTGGAGCATCCACACACACCCTCTTCCAAAAGAGCTTTTTCAGAAGAGTTGTTATTCCTTGTAGAATGAGGTTTACCAACGTCAGAAAAAACCCTCCATTATTTCAATTTTCTTTGCTGTAGTTATTGTTTTTCCAGAATAACAGCTATTATTCTGCAATAGTGATGCAGTGTAGACACACCCTTAGTACCACACCTGATTCCATGCCCCGGGCCTTGCTGGCAAACTGCAACTCAAATATAGCAGATGGCTCTTACCCCCTGCTGGGAAAAAGTTCAAAAATGCATTTGCTTCCTTTCAGCAATATGTCCCAAAAAGAGAAGAGACAAAGAAAACCTATTAAGTCACCTAATCATCCACTCTGTTGGTCCAGGATTGTTCCCTACAGTCTATGCATCAAATACTTTATCTAGCCTAATTCTCTAGCTCCTAAGCAATAGAGCTTCCATCCAGTCCCTTGGAAGACTATCCTAAAGATCTCAATGCTAGGAACATTTTGCTGACATCCATTAGACATTTGCCTCTGCTCTGTTGTTCTAATTGGGCAGTGTTGAACAATCCTCGGTCATGAAACACGCCCACACCCCATCATCAAATACACTGGTAATTTAACGGGATCTGATAGCTGTATTTAATTTCACCTCTTTTTAGCTTGGAAAGAAAAAGAAAATTCCTTTTCTGGCCACCCCAGAATACCTCAGGCAAAGTCCTTCTGAAAGGGGATCAGACAGTGTGAATAAGAGCATGACAGAGCAATCCCTTATTCTGTGAGTAGCCCCACTGAAATGAAAGGGACTGTTTGTGGAGTGAGATGCTACTTGTTGGAAAAAAGAGGTTATAAAATCAGACTAATGACATGTACATGAATAGAGGAAAATAGTTGGATCAATACTTGTATGTCTCGCAAGCAGCTGGGTTATTGGAGTTAAGACTGTCAGCCTACCTTCTCTCACTGCCAGAGTGTAGAGTTGTTTGTATGTCTGTTCAGTTGGTTGCAAACGTCAAGATCTCTGTCTCCCTCTCTCTCCCTCCCTCTCCCTTCTGATTTTTAAAGCTCACTGCAGTGCTGTTTGTGTCACCCTATCCCTGACCCTCCCATCTCCCGGTACCGCTCTGGTGCTAACCACAACTTAACATCAACCACACACAATACAGAAGTCTCTACTCCAGGTGCCACCTGATAATTTATGAGGCTTAACTTCGACGTTAATAAAAACAAGGTCTTTCTCTAAGAGACCTCTAGCCTCGAAAATGCGTTTTAATTCCCTGCAGAGTCACCGCAGGAGCGTGTCTGCACCTTTATGTGACTAAACTTTTATATTTGCTTTTTTTATGCCAATTGCTCCAGAGCTAATTTCTCCACTAAGTTACACAGTGGGAAGAATGTGGGACCCAGTCATGCCAGCCTTGCTCACAGGATTAATCCTTTCAAAGGTCCCTGACATTTAAGCCTACATTATCATAGCCAAGCTTCCATTATTGTGGGTGCAATTTTGTGCTGACAATATTACTCATATTTTTGCCCTTTCTTCTGACTTTAGAGTCCCATTCTGATAATAGTGCTACCCCTCTGATGAATACAGATGGCCAGGCTCTTGCAGTCAGGTACCCACTGGAAGAGAAATCAGTGATGTAGAGTCTAGATAAAGTCTGTGTGTAACTTGTTTCACTTGTTTAGCTCTGGAATAGGCATCTGAGGGCGGTCATGGAGTCCCCATGATTGGAAGCTTTTAAAAACAAGTTGGATAAACTCCTGTCATGAATGGTCTAGATTTATATGCTCCTGCAATAGTGCAGGGATCTGGACGTGAAAACTTCTGAAGATCCCTTGCTTCCCTATAGTATGATTCTGATATACATGAGGCCTGGAACAGAAGTAGTCACAAAAATCATGCAGATAACCCCCCTTTTTTGGAATCTCAGCTCCAACAACAATAACTAGTTCCCACAAAGAAAGTTTGCCTCAGAAATTGACTCCGATCAGAGTATAAAGAGGAGAGAAAACTGTAGTGTTGCTTACGCAGTGGCCTCTTCAAGGGCCATTCCCCTACACAGAACCTTGCACAACAAAATCTAACTACCCAGTAAGTCTCCCCAAAACTGAACATTTGCTTACATGCTAAAAATAGGCTATTGACAGACTAAAACTACATCTATACTTGGGGCTGGTGATTCCCACCTTATGCAAACATACCCGTGGTACCTGTGCTCGAGCTAGCATGCTAAAAATTGTAGTGTAGCTGCAACAGCATGGACAGTGGCAAGCAATGGCACAAGCTAGTCATGTGAATGCAAACCCACCTACTCACTACTGGCTCTGCTACACAGCTATTTTTTACATGCTACATAGAGCAGATCTAGTGCATTTATGTCTGTGCAAATTAAGAGTGAAATCCCGAGCTCCACGTGTAGACGTTGTGATACCTGCTGTAACTACATAAATACTTACATCTCTGACTGCACACGCAAACGGCTCTTCTTTCATAGGGTATTCTCAACGTGTTTCCAGAAGATTCCAGGTTGTCTTACTTATTCCCCCTTGTGGGCCAGTCTGAGGATTAGTAAGGAAACATGGGCTATGCTGAAGAGTGGCAGCCCCATGTCCCCATATCTACTCATCTCAGTACAGGTTAACCCTCTCTAGTCCAACACTCTCTAGTCTGACAACATCCATGGTCTGGCATGATTTTAATTAGCTGGTTGTCCACTTTTCATGGGTGTGGCCAAATTTCCTGTGGTCCTAGAAAGTTTTTTTTACAGCCACCAGTCCTGGTGTTCTGTGCTGTTATTAGCTCTAATTTAAGGATATTAAGAAGTGGGTATTTGGCTAATCATGTAGTCAATACAATTTCTATCAACAACACGATAAGTCGATAAACAGAGGCACTCTGCAGAGCCATAGCGGAGGTAGTTCCCAAAGCTGGCGCAAGCGGGGACTAAGCAGTCCCAGCTCATGCCAGTTCCAGGACTGTTGTGGCTCTGTATATTAAATGTAGTAAGAGCCACCGGGCACTTACTACATTTAAAAGGCAGAGCTGCAGCGCGGGTGGCTGAACTGGAACTACTTTCCTGCTCTATAATCAGAGACAGCAAGGTGAGTGGAGCAGGAGCTGGTGCTGGAGAGAATCGGTCTCCACGGTGCAGGAGTGAGCGTGCTGCAGCTCTGCCTTTTAAATGTAGTAAGAGCCACCCAGCTCTTACTACATTTAAAAGGCAGAGCCGCAGCAGTCCAGGACCATGTGAGCCAGGACTGCTTGGTCCCAGCTTGCCCTGGGTCCAGCAGCCCCTGTCTACAGCAGCCCAGTTGGGCTGTGGGCAGAGGCTGCTCCAGCAGCAATCCCTGTCCATGGCCAACCTGGGCCACTGCAAACAGGGGCTGTTGCCAAAGCAGCCTCTGCCTGCGGTAAGCCTCAGCTTGTTGCAGGCAGAGGCTGCCTCACAGCAGCCTCCCCTATCTCTTGCCCGCTGCTGCCTTTGATAGAGGCAAAAGCAGGGGAGGCAGGCAGCACTACAAAGATGGTGCTGGGCAGAACCAGGTTTTAAGCCAGCTCCCCCATTACCTGCTCCTGCTCCCACCCCCCTTTACTGCCTCTGATACAGAGGCAAAAAGGGTGGGGGAGAAGCGAGTAGTCAAGTACTTAACTATTCGCTTACATCCCTACTCTAATTTACCCCTAAATGTCTTCTATGAGCCCAGTAAGCAGTGAGAGCATTGGCAATGCTGCTAGACAAAATAACCTCCTGTAGTTTGGCAAATTCTCTGATTCAGCACTGGTCAGGTCCCGAGGGTGCTGGACTAGAGAGGTTCAACTTGTAATGCATTCAAGAGCCTTATGTGATGTCTGGGGCAGGGATGAGGGCAAGCTGGCTGAGGTTGAATCAAGACGAGATTGCAGTGATGCTGAAAGACTGAGGAAAGTGGTCAGAAGATGCAGCAAAAGTTATAGCTGTTCCCCAGATCCCATACTTTGTTCATCTAAGTCCTGATTAAATGACAGTATATGCAAACAAGGAATTTGGACATCTTCTTAGGCACACACTTTTGGGAACTGAGCCTTAAAAAAAGTATTCTAGATCAAATAGTAAGAAAGTGTCACAACTGCCATTAGGTTTCAGGAGCCTCAGCTTCCTTCTCTAACTATTACTAACACTTAGCTTTTCCATAGCACTTGTCATCCAGAGAGCTAAAAGAGCAAATATCACTATTTTCATTTTACAGATGGGGAAAATGGGGCAATAAGAGGACAAGTAGCTTGTCCAGGTCACAGAGCAGGGAGAGCCCAGGGAAGACCTAGGTTTCCTGAGTCGTAGTCCGGTGTCTTCTCCTCTGGCTCACACTGCCTCCCTCTCATTAGACTGTGCTCCCTAAAATGTTATTTATTTAAATCTTCTCATATGAGGCACAGGTAGCTTGCTACTGGGGAAAAAGGTGGGAGGGGTCCATACTTCCCCTCCAGTGTCCCTTAAGAATACTTGCTTTAAAGGTGAGGTGAGGCCTACAGGGCTACGTCTACACTGCAGAGCTATTTCAGGATACTGGAAGTATCCCGAAATAGCTATTCTGTGTCTATTGAAGCAGTCCATTGTTTTGAAATAGATTTCAAAATAACAGGCAGCTTATTCTGATGTCCCGGTAACCCTCGTTCCATGAGGGCAAAGAGGCATTTCAGAATAGCGAGTTATTTCGAAATTTGGTGCTGTCTTATGAAATAAGCTATTTCAAAACACACTCGAAATAAGAACATAAGAATGGCCATACTGGGTCAGACCAAAGGTCCATCCAGCCCAGTATCCGGTTTGCCAATAGTGGTCAATATTAGATGCCCCAGAGTGAGGGAACACAACAGGTAATCCTCATGTGATCCCTCTCCTGTCACCCATTTCCAGACAAACAGAGGCTAAGGACACCATTCCTACTCATCCTGGCTAATAGCATAGTGCAAACTGCGTAGCTTATTTTAAGCTAAGGGTGCTATGTCAACGCACCCTAGAAGTGCAGCTACTCTTGAGTAAGTGATTTATATTGTACCACCTACTACACTGGGTGCTAACAGTGCCCCAGTAAATGGGTTTAATGAGCAAAGTGTTCACAATGATCCAGACCAAATGCAGAGCAAGATCCTGACTCAAATTTGGACCCAGGCAAAATTCTCACTTAAAAGGAGTAGAACTTTTAAGATTTTTGCTTGAGTAACAAATAAGCAGGGATATCAGGGTTGGGTCCATAATAGGGATGTTAATGGGCAGTCAATTAAACAGCTATTAGTAAGTATCACCCTTAGCAGGTGATGCTTACCAGGTAATGGTTAACCAGTACCCAGTACATGCAAATTTGGACCCAGGCAAAATTCTCACTTAAAAGGAGTAGAACTTTTAAGATTTTTGCTTGAGTAACAAATAAGCAGGGATATCAGGGTTGGGTCCATAATAGGGATGTTAATGGGCAGTCAATTAAACAGCTATTAGTAAGTATCACCCTTAGCAGGTGATGCTTACCAGGTAATGGTTAACCAGTACCCAGTACATGGGCAGAGGGCTTTTCCAGCCCCGCCAGGCCCCCCCCCCCCCCCCCGGGGAGGGGGGGCGGAGG